TTTTTTTATTTTTATGGAAATGATAAAGCGAAATAAATTTCAGCTTACCCAACAAGGACAAGTGGCTCTAACCCTAACACCATAAAACTGTATTTTTTTTTCATCTTAATGTCAGGCTTCAGAAAATATTTTTACTTTATTTATTCTTTATTTTTATTTATTTATTTATTAAAATTGCCCATTCTGATTATTTGTTCTTCTTTTCTATTTATTTAAATCTTCCCTTCAGTAATTTGATACATAGCTCTCCAAAAGTCGTCTATTCACTACGTTTGTACAGGATATTCCAATATGTCTCTTACGTATTTTTGTACAGTTTGGTCCAAACGTCATCCCTTCTGTACTTATATATATTCGTTTTCCGCCATGATGTCCCTACAAGCAAGACACCAATCTGCCACTTGGTCGGATGCCACTAGATTCTACCTCTGCTCTGTGACAGCTGGCGTGTTCCTCTCGGCAATGTTAACACTGTTGGCCGCTAGATGACCACCGGTTGCTGCCACCAGAGGACCACTGGCGTTGCCATTGGCGGCCTGCCAGCGGGCCACTAACAACTTGTGCGTAGTTTTCTCGTATGGTGGATGGTATGAATTTTCTCTTATGATGGATCGTAGCGATGGATCGTATGATCCCTTGCTAAAAAAAAATCCTGGGAAAATTGTTGTTTTCTTCATCATCTGATAATACCTGACTTCTTTTGATATTTTGCTTTGTAGCTCCATGGAGAGATTTACGTGGATTTTATAAAGGCGCAAATGTCCAGCTTTAATAAAACGATTAACAGCACTTTTATATTCTCCCAGCCCACCTTACCAATGGAGGATAGCAGCTCGGATTGAGAAATCGGAGAGCCGAGTTCGAATTCCAGTCGAATCTCATTACATTCATTTATATCATTGGGAAAGTTATGAATCCTATTCTTCTCCCCCAGCTATTGGTAAATAGCAGGACAGACCAGGCCTTGGATGGCAACTGGTCTAACACAGAAAGAAATGGCAACCTACTGCGGGAAAAAATCTGCCTCGTCAGACATGCATCGAATGATACATGATCGCCTAAACATGTATCACGCATGGCACATAACTGACTGATTGATCTTACCAATATGGCTGCTATTAAGGATCAAGTAATAGCAAGTCTTCTCAATATGTATCTTATCACCTTGAAAATTTATTTATTTATTCCAAATATTCCAAAATAATACGTACAACACTAACAGAATAGTCTTGACGTTTTTAATCATATCACCCAACCCAGTCGGTGTTAGAGTTAAAAGTATTAAGTAGCGAGAACAATAAAAGAACAAGAATCAAGGAGACAGTACATAACGATTGATACAGCGTTTAAACTTTTGCAAGATCAAAGTTGCCTGGAAAGCAAAAAGCCGGGATAGAGTTCCACGAGCGAAAAGTGTATTAGAAGAAACTGTTAGCACAGAACTTACGGTTGAATTTAGCCAATTCAACAGAACAATGATGAAACCTTACAACCAATGTGGTACTGCGCTTAAATTCATAATCTAGGTACCATAGAGGATAGTTTATCAGTACAATCGCGATGAAATTATTTGTAGAAAAGGCACAGGGAATCAGCATTACGGCGATGGCAAAGTGACTGAAACCGAGATGACAGGTCAGGACCAATAACATTGCAGATTCTTTGGATCTCTAAATATATAGTAGGAGCATCAGACCATATGTGGCAGCAATATTCTAAGCGTGGACGAATGCTAGACATGAATATGTAAGATAGATTCTGGCGAGAAAAATTGTCTAGCACATGAACTAACTTTTCTAGCAACAGACCCAATCTTTCCATTTCATGTCGATAGAGGACATTAGCTCGAGAAGCGAACCGTGTCACTCTGCTGGAGGTTAGCATCAGCCATGCTGGTGGAAGACAAAAAGGGATTTCTCAGATGATTAATATTATTACTAGTCTGCTAGAAATGCTGCAGTAACTCTATGCTGGATTTTCTTGTCGTTATTAACTCATTCATCTGCAGGTTCAAATCAGATAACGGTTGGATGCTGTTGAAGACAATGGAAACACACAGCACTTTCTTCTGTACTCTTACCAACTTCACTAAGGCCATAATCTACACCAGCGATTCTCAACCTTTTTTAACCCTTGCGTAACCCTTAAAATAAATTACATGTCTCAAGGAACCCCTGCGCAAAAACAGAATTATTTACCATATCTTTCTCATTTTATTTTCATCGTAGTTCACGTGGTAAATATCATAGGATATATTTTTGAATAACTGGTTTAGAGAAAAATTTATACATCTTTGTCAAATTTTTCGGTAATGCTAAATAAAATTCATACTGTTCGTTTATAATACTTTATCATTGAGTTTTAATTCACACAAAAAAAAAATTTGTAAACTCAAAGTAAAAAAAAAGTAACCAATATCATATACTTATAATATAAATGTAAACAGATCGAAAACAGATAATTGCTGCATCAGTTTTTTTTTATTTTTATTTTTATTTTCTTATCCTTTACTGACAATGTTGAAAAGACATGAAGTAAATCAGGGCAAAATATCCTGTGAACCAATAAATGGGATAAGAAAATATTACTTTCAGAGCCATTTGATAAAATGAAACATGCTTCTCTAATGTGAAACCTGTGCCTGTCTTTTGCTTAAATAAAAAGTCAAAAGTGCATTATCTTATCTCACCTGTTCTCGCGGAACCCTTGAGGACTTTTGCGGAACGTTAGGGTTTCCGGGAACCCCGGTTGAGAAACGCTGATCTAAATGATCTTAGAGGGGAAAACGTATTCTCCACTCAACAGCGTCTTTCTCGCAGACACAACGCTGTAAGCTTGTCGCTATTCTGTCGGTATTTCCATGACAATTAGTAGATTTAATGAGCATCACCGGTTAGATCTACTAATTCAAAACTTTAGTACTAGGACTCACCTTGCTATTTTCGTTCTCATTCGCTCGGAATTACTAATCAGAATAAATAGCCTTGGAAAAGGTATGAAGCCATCTCTCCTCCTCCCAGCTATGGGTTAATTAGTAGAACTTGTCGCAGTAAATTATTATTGTCTCCAAAAACTTCTTAAATCTAAAAATGTTTTCTGGGTTTAAATTACAGAGGGTTGATAACCCGTAAAATACAAATCAATTCACCAATCAATCTACCCTCAATTCCACCATAGTTCACTCATCTTTTCCCCCAAGAACTGCTAATTTGTGTAGCAGGCTCCCGCGTATTTGCTTCAATTTCAAACATTTCAAGACAGTCGTTATGTATCCTTCTTATCCTCATAATCTTCACTTTCACTTGGTATAAACGTTTCTTCGCTGCAAAGAACACAAGAAGCGTTTTAAAAAAACACCAAAAGAAGGCCACTATTATGAATAACATCGACCCCTACCCACGGATCAATATCCATATCGATAGGAGTAACCGTCAGGGAATTTTGAACAGAATCCTTCATTTAACCTACAGGAGTAGTTTTTTTTTTTTTTTTTTTTCATTCAGCTGCGATATGTCGTCTTCTTCTGATGCAGTACATCTCAATTTTTGCCTGCACTGTTACCACTGAATCTAAATTTGTACCGAAAGTGATTGAACACAATTATTATGGCGCCAAATTAATTAAAACAAACATTCTTCGTCCTGTCAGTCAAACTAAGAAAGCCGGCGAACATACTGTGATAATAACAAAAAAGACGAGGACATTATTTTGAATTTAAATAGTAATTCCTTATCCCAGAAATTCGGACAGAAATATTACTATGTTTATATTGACGGGTTTCTCGGGACCGCTTCCAGATCAGCACAAGAGGAGAGATCTGATTCACCCACTGACAATCGAACACACTCACAATGGAATTTGACGATATCTTGATCGCCATCACACTACGGTAGGTACTCACTAACGATTAGAGACTTGTTCTTAAGCGGATTAAATTATGATCTTTCCCTGAGATTTTTTTATTAACTCCCATTCGTTTTTTTTCGGCAATTTTTTTGCTGTGAATTTCGGCAAAAAAATCAAAGATGCTGTACATCAGCGAATCTATATCTAAAATTCTCAAAATGTGTGTCTGTGTGATCGGATGTTGTTTATGCGTTTCCACGTTTTTGATCCGATTTCGATGAAACTCTTTTTGTTTGATAGATAATTCTTCAGTGCCAGTTTTGAGCCCACATTGGCTGGAAAAAATTACAACCTTGTAATTTTGCGCAAAGTATAAAAAATCAGTTTTGTACACTTTGCACAAAACTTAACGCCTGTAAAAAAAACAGCGTACAATCAATTTAGAGAGTTGAAATCTAACGCAAAAGATTATTCGAATTATAAAAAAAATTATATTATAAATAAAAATTATCGTATATTATTATTATGATGGTGCATGTAAGAGTTTCCTTCCTTGCAAGGTTGGGAAAGCAAAAACGGCACTTTTCAGGGCCACCCCCACCCCCAGTTGCAGCCAGTTATTGTTTCTAATATTAATTTTCGTGTGGGCTAACTTTAAATTTAAATTGCTCCAATTGAACGCAAAAATTCCTGATAATGAAACGCCCGGTCGAAGACGGGTTATACTGTTAGTAACAACTAAATTCAATTTTATACACTATTTTGGTAGTCTATTATCATTTTGTGTCTTAAACGTAAAAATAAAAAATATATGCATCAACATAATCCTATTCGGCAATAAACATAGGACGATGTACGAAGTATTTCGCATATTCTTCTACAAACAAAATCATCGCTGGTGGTGTAGCTTAAGCGTGGCACAAGACAGAAAGTATGTGAGCACCCAGAGAGGATCGAACTCACTATACCCTTGTAAGCAAGATACCAAGACAAGCTTGTCAACATTACACAACGCCGAAGAGCCTAAGAATCATTTCTTATGTTTCTATTATATGATAGATAGATAGAAAAATAAAGATGGAAAACAAGATTATGCCTAGCTTAGATATCAAATCATTACACTCTAAATTAACCGTTAAGAATTATTAAGAAACCACCTCATAGATAGATAGATAGATAGATAGATAGATAGATAGAGGGAGAGATTCAAAGAGATTTAGATAGATAGATAGATAGATAGATAGATAGATAGATAGATAGATATGAACAGCGAGATAGATAGATAGATAGATAGATAGATAGATAGAGAGAGAGAGAGAGAGAGAGATGCATTTTTTTACACCAACAAAGAGTAAGGACTGAAACAGTCTTGATGGATGGTGCCCGGATGTTGACCGATTCGCTGTTACTCTCTATCTAGCCTGAATAATTACCTAATCATCTGAAATAATGATAATCATTAAAAGCCAGTCGCTCGGCACTTTAGGTGATTGATTGGTCAATTCAACGTTTGAGCTTTATCGATTTACAAAGGTTAATTGCTATTTGAAACTATTTGACAGGATCACATCAATAAAGAAATGATTCGGATTCCTATTGTTTGTTTAAGATAATGAGGTTTTTTTAGTTTTTGTTTTTTGTTAGCCGGGTCCGGAAAAAAAATCTGACGTTCTCTTTACCAGTTGTTGTATATCTCTACCAAAATATAAAAATAAATAAATAAATAAGAATAAACATTAATGTATATTTTTTGTTTTTTAAAAATGTATTTATTTCAAAAGCCTAAGGAAAGTGTTCATATGGTCTCCTACTGCTGCTATATAATTAAAGATTCTTGATAAAATCGAAAGAAGCTGCGATGTTATTGGTCCTGACCTTGTATCTCGGATTCAATCACTTTCCCACCGACGTAATGGAGTTTACTGTGCCTTTTCTATAAATAATTTCCTGTTGATTTTTCTAATGAACTTTATGGTACCTAAACTACGCAAATTTAAGGGCAGTACTAGATAGGTTTACAGTTGAAATGTCTATATGTAACCATAAGTTATATGCTAAAAGTCTCTTTTCTCGCATTTTACGCTTGTGGAAATCACGTACAACTTACTTTCGAGACAAGTTAGGTCTTCAAAAATTTAAATGCAATGTCAATCCTTATCTTCTGGTTGCTTCTTCTTTTATTATTTCTCTTTTAATAATATTTTTCTTATATTCTTTCACACTCAGTAACCGTCTGCATGGTAGTGGCTTTGTTGCCTTACTTGGGGTGATTTTTTTTTAATAGGCTTGTAATTATTATTTATTAGTTTGACAATTTTTTCACCTTGTAACTAAGACAGATTTAAATTTAATGGCAATAAAATTTAATGGCAACATAATTTATTGGAAATGAAATGGCTCCATTGGATAAGAGGGTTATAACTATTTCAATTTTGGAATTTTTAGATATACATGAACACCCGCAAATAGATAGATAGATAGATAGATAGATAGATAGATAGATAGATAGATAGATAGAATGAGGGAGGGGTTAACAGATTGGGATAGGTATGATCTAACTGGAAGAAGAGAGAAAGAGAGAAACGTATATAGATAAGAAGGTACACTCCTCCCGAGTAAGAAGGGATTCTAATATCACCTATGATGTTTAGACATTTTTACGATAATGTTCACCCTGTACAAGGCTTAAAAGCCACTCGAGGTAGATGTTCACAGGGTAAGAGGCACAGTTTATGGGGATATGTGAGGAAGATAACTGTTGACGCTAGACTTGAACAGGTTAAGATTGTAGTGATCGGAGAACTATCCTCCTGAAAGTCAGTTCCACAAAAATGGGTTCGTGGGAATAAGCTGTGTGAGTGAAACTTACACTACACCACTGGAATACGAAAGAAATGAGGGGGATCTCTACAACAGGCGTAGCAAGGCGGGTCTTGAAGGGTAAAACGGGTGGGACTAAAGAATGTCGTTCGTTTAGACACATTCCACGAGAATAGTGGCAGAACGACGAGAGGCTTGCAAAGTTTCAAATCATTCAACCCTTTTGTCTGTGAAAATGATTTGCTATCGTAGATGTTTTTGGAATATATCGAGGACTGGAATGTGAAGACTGGGAAGCCACTGCCCGTATATGGATTCATCATTTTTAATTTCTTTATATATTGTTCAGAAAAGCATCTATTTATTCTGAAAACCGTTTATAGAAAGAAATCTTTCGAAATATATGTAACTATTCTCCATATTTAAAATAAAATCAATCGATTTTGTTACTTTTTCTTTTGTATTTCTTGAATTAGGCCAGTATCCAAGTATGTCAGTGTTTCTCAACCTTTTTAAGCAACGACACACCTTGGTGCAAATGAAAATATCACGGCACACTCAGCCAAATTTTTAAAGGGTATACATTTAAATATTATGAAATAAAACCATAGATTTAAAAAAGAAATACACACAGAGATATGAACTTATTTTATTTCAATGTTTCTATCCAGTTATTTGTGCAACATTTCGTGCGAAACCTCTGTCTGGTGTTTTTTCGTGATTTCTTCAATGTTTGGTCGAATACGCGATAAGCAGACTCTCATTTCTTCTTCAGTTGAGCGTAGTCTTTCTCGCTTCTTATTTTTGGTGATATTTAGGGTTAAGAAGCCAAATGCACATAAATAAATAAGTGAAAATTGCAATAAAACTGATAAAACATTTTCATCTAATATCGAATATTCTTTTTATATTGAAACCGAAAATCTATCAGTGGGTACCGTGGAATATTTTATTTTCAGCTCGTATAAATACTTTAAAAAAAAATGAATATTTAAACAAACTATTTAAAATAACATAACCGAAGCAAATACTAACGCTGTACCATTATTACTACCCCCATATATATATATATATATATATATATATATATATGGGGGTGGTACATATATATATATATACATATGACAATAATATTTCGCGACACACTAGCGTGCCGCTGCACAAATTTTGAAGTTCACTGATGTATGCAAACATATATATATATATATATATATATATATATATATATATATATATATATATATATATATATATATATATATATATATATATATATATATATATATATATACATATAGAGAGAGAGAGGTTAGTGATCAGAGTTGAATCAGACCAGGAAACAGTAGTATTTCAAAGTGCTCAATACGCGAGAGAAAAAATATAAGTAAATATAAAAATAACATTTAGAACTTTCAACATAAAAAATTTGGAGGTCAGTTGAAATTCACAACCATTGTCTTGACCGCGCCTGTTAATTTAATTTTTTCTTTTTGAAACATAATTATGAAGCGTTGTTTGTGTTGTTTTTTTAATGCACCTTTTCTCCCCCTTCCAACTATAGGTTTATATGAGAGAGAGAGAGAGAGAGAGAGAGGCAGAGAGAGAGAGAGAGAGAGATTGATTTGCTTTTTAAGGGTTATCATCATTTTGCTGGGTATTTAAACCCAGAAAATATTTTTACATTGTAATAATGATACAAGTCCTGATAATTTACCTATTTTTTGGGGGGGGAGAAAAGGTGTATTTATACCTTCCTCAAGAGTATTTGCGCATAAATGAATATAACGAACCCAACTGGAATTGGAACTCCGTTCTCCGAGTTGCAAGTCCGAAACAGTTATCCATTATACATGTCAAGCTTACAGCACCTCATATTCATAAGCAGTCATTCATGTAGGTACTGACTAGGCTCAATGTTGCTTAACTTCGGTAATCGTACAGGAAACGGTGTTTCAACGTGATGTAGCCATGAGCCAAAAAAAAAATTAAATTAAATTTTAATTGCAACTTTTAAGGGTCAATATATTCAGAGAAAAACAAAATTTTTATTCGAGTTTTTATCATTGAGATAATTTTAAAGCTGAAATGATGAAAGTAATTCCAAAAACATATTTATAGATAAACAACCTTTCAGCGACAAACAAAAAAGATAAATGCTGTCAATATTTTGTGCTTTATTTGATACATCTTCTGAACAGCAATCGATTGAAATATCGTCTCGAACGAAAAATAATCTTTCATGTTCGTAAATCAAATGATTTCGGATAAAATTTCTTCTTTAGAGTTTGTTATATCCCAGGTTGTCGGGATGAAGAAAAATGGATGAAAATGAAACGCAAGTGTATTTTAACACAAAATAAAATAACTTTTATTCATTTATGCCTGAGAACAGGAAGGATTTGTTAAGATTTAAATCATGAGTTTAACCTGCGTGTCAGATTATCACCATGTTGAATTCAGAATTGTCGCGGTTCAACTTGCGGACAAGGGCCGTAACTCAATTGTATTTTCAGTTATCGCCCTTTATAGGGAGAAGTATGTTAACACACCACCCTAACAGAGTTAATTTCATTCTTTTAAGATTCTGTTGGCAAAAATGTTCGTTTGTTTAGTAAGTATATGTTCTTAGAGAAAAAAAAATCGTTACAAAAGAATAAGTACGGGACTGTTACGTGATATCTGTCCTTCTCTGTGTGGCAGCGAATGCTGGACTGTAGAAAAATCACGTGGTCGAGATAAACACTCAGTTGTGGAGCAAGCTAAGTGAATAATAATTCAACCTTGAGAAAGAGCTATTTATGGTGCCATGGAGCATCTCATTGTGCTAAAGTGGGATAGTCCATTGCTTGGGCTGTGATTTGCTGCTGGTACCTGAGTGGAGGTATTTCTATATAAATACCATCTTGATTCATCAGTTAGTTTGCAGGGTTTGTATTAAGTTACAACCTGCTTTATTTTTGTGTGCCAGCTGGACGCTAGCTGGGATCCTTACGCCAGTGAGTGCTGTTTATTGTATTGTTATTCTACATCTCCTTTCCCCCCATTGCGTGTGGGTAGTGGCCTTTGGGGAGGGATAAGTTCATTTAAACCTGGTTGGTTGTGTGGAAGTAGTCTGGACAATGCCCGAGGGGGTTTTGTTCGTGTTATTGTAGACGGCTGAGCAGTGTTTGATGTTATTCCACGTCGAATGTTTGTGGCACTGGTGTAGGGTTCTCGGGTAAGGCACTAGGTCTTGGAACTGGAATTGTTGGTGTATCCAGTTTCCTGAGGAATCGGCGATTTCGTAATGTAATTCTACCTGATCCGTCAACTCTGATACGGTATTGGTGGTTGGGGAGGGTTTCAATGACCTGACCTGTTGTGTCCCATCGGCGGGTTGATGGCCGTTGTAGTGCCACTATTTGTCCTTTATGAAGGGGGTTTAATGTGTGTGCTTATCTATTGTATCGCTCTATGAGATGAGCGTTCCGCCGGGACAGGATTATCTTGCGATTTTGGGCTGCAATTATCCAATTCGCGTGTGGTTTATAGAGTGTGGGTAGGGATGGTATGTAGTCACGTAGTCGGCGGTGGAGTAGTAGTTGAGCAGGGGATAGCCCAATGTTTTGAATCGGCGTATTCCTGTATTGGAGGATGGCTCTTGCTGCACGATTATTGTCCAACGATCCTTGGGCTCCTGTGTTTCCATTTACGATTCTCTTTTTTTGACAGCCGTTTTGACAGCAAGCTCTGCCCGACCATTGGATTGTGGGTAACCAGCAGATGATAACCTGTCTTTAACAGCCCAGTCTTGTAAAAATTGCTTGAATGTAAGGGATGTCAAGGGTGGCCCACCATCAGTGCTGAGTTCCTCGGGAGCACCGTAGGCTTGAAATATGTCTCGGCAAATTGAAATAATCCTTGACGCATTAGCTTCTCCGTGGCTCAAGTGGTATAAAGTCAGCCAGCCTGTTAACCTGTAAGTGCATGCTAAGTAACCATGGTTCCCAACATGGAAGATGTCCATGACGATTTGCTGAAATGGCCAATCAGGAGATGGTGTCAAATTGATTGGCTCTTTTGGTTGACTCGGGGCAATTTTTGAGCAGAACGTACAACCTGCTCTAATGTTACGTATTGAAGCATTCATCCCGGGCCAATAAACAGATTCATTGGCACGTGACTTCATGCCAACTTCGCCTTGGTGTGCAGAATGTAGGCTATGTAAGCCTTTTGCGCGTTCAGAGGTGGGGATAACGATTCTTTGATCTAATAGCACTAATCCGTCGTCAACACTTAGGCGGTGCCTCACTTCCCAGTATTCGCGGATTTTGGGTGCAGTGAGGCTGCGCGTCCTTTGGAATCCATTTCGTATTGCTTCAATTAATTTTTTGTATTGCGGGTCGCTGCGTCCCGCCGCACTGATAACGCCTGGTGAGTTGAGCTCCAGGTTGTCATTTGCACTGAATGTTGCTAATATGGTTGTTGATTTGACCCAGTCATCCATGTTGTCAGACTCTATGATGTCTGATTGAGAGGTTTCAGCAGTGAATACATTTAGGAGTGCCTGTGAGATGTCTGCTGGGTTACGAGAGACAGCATCGGAGGCTCTGTGCCATTTTCCAGGGCTGTGCTGAATGGTGAATCTGTACCTAAGGGATTTCTCATTTAACCTGAATAATCGGGGGTTTTGGATTTTACTAAGGTCTCTATCTCCGAATAATCCTTTTAGTGGTTCATGATCTGTAACTACTGTGAGATTCGGGCAACCCATTACAAAAATGCGACATTTTTCCAATGCCCGCGCAATTGCTGCTGCCTTGCCTTCAATAGGTGCATATATATCTGCGTTCAGCATCAATGCAGAATCTGCTACCAGCAAATATCAGGCACCAACCTTCAGGGCAGCAAACTGGGGCTTTGTCTGTGGTGCATGAGCAATACTTCTGTAGAAGTAGGAAGCCCATTCCGTCTTTGCTCCAATCTGGGGCGAGGCAGGTTATTCGTTCTTTTTCAAATGTTGCAAAGCCTTTTCGAACTAAGTCAACTATGACCTTCTTTGAATGCTGGAATGCATCCTCAAGGCTTTTATTCCATATAAAGTGTGAGACTCGTTTGACGAGATCACGAAATGGAAGCATGACTGGGCTCAGTGAGTATGCCCAAGTGACTTGGTTGATCAGACCAAACCATGATCTGGCACCGATAAGTGTTTTTGGTATTGGGAAGCTTAATATCGCCTCCAGCATGGATTTAGAAGGGGTTACACCAGAGGATGTTGTCTGGAGGCCCCCAAACTTCACAGTGTCTTGGCAAAATTGGAACTTTTCTCTATTGAGTACGATACCGTTTTTTGCGCAATGGAAGAGGAAATCGAAAGTGTGAAAAAAGGCTCCTTCGATGTCAGAGTCGTAGAGTAGTGTGTCATCTACGATTTTTACTTTGCGGGGGATGTCTTATATTACTTCATCATACCTTCGGATGTAGGCATCGCCAGATGCTAGGTAACCTTGTGGCATCCTCAGGTACATGAACCTTCCCCATTCTGTGATGAAGGTGGTGAGTGGCTGGGACTTTTTATCTAAGGGGATGGAGTGATATCCATCAACAGCATCCAACACTGTTTTCTATTGTTTAGGTGGCACTTGTAGTGCTAGCTGGAATGGTGACCCTGTATGGTGTGTTTCCCGTTTGCACTGTGAATTCAAGTGTTGGTAGTCTATGGTTCTTCGTGGTTTGACATTTTTCTTGGCGGTAATTACCATAGTGCTACACCAATCAGTGGGCATGCCGACGGTTACTGGGGTTATGATACCCCTTTTCACATCTTCCCAAAGGGCTTGCCTTACGGGTTCTTTGAAGAGAAAAGGCACAGGAATTGGATTATGTCTGGCTTTGGGGACTGCTCCTTCTTTGAGGTGTATATGAGCAGTGGAGCCAGGCATTGGTGGGAATTCACCATTATTTTTGAACGCCGTTTTGGCGAATTGATTCAATAGCCAATTCTTGAGCCTATCAATGTTTTGTTCTGTTGGGGGAAAAGGGTTTTTTTGGAGCGCGTTGGAAGTTGTCCCTCGACTTTGCCTTGTTTGGGGCTCGCGTCTGATTTTTTTTATGTGTGCTTGTCGAGGGCATGTGTTGCATTGCTGTTTGGGGTAATATTGTAGTCGTCGGGTTCGGGAAGTCTTTCGAAAGTATCCCTACGTCAATGCAGGCTGCTTTGCTGAAGAATAGCCGCTGGATCTTTTTGCATATGTATAGGGCTTGTTTAGTTGTTTTTCCTTGGACGATGAATTCCACGGGGAGCCAACCCTGACATACAAGTGTAAAGCCTCCCACAGCTCGGACGACTTTTCATGATGGAATGAGGTTGTTGGTAGTGAGCCCCATATTCAGAAGGTGCTTAAGTCCCCCGAGACATATGGTGGCCCCACTGTCAGGAAAGATCGTCATCCTAGTGCTGTGATTTCTGGGGATATTCTTAACTTGTCCGGGATCCGGTTTTAGCGAGAATGGAACAACATATACATCAATCTCCCTTACCTGGCCTGTGTCTTTAGATGTATACGTGCCCGTCATTTGATTGAATGTAATGTGGGCGATAAGTGTGTCCATGGCGGCTTCATTGGCCTCTGGGCTTTTCCTTGCTGCTTGAGCCAGTTTC